ACCCATGATGATCCGAATAGAATTGTGCCCATAGGGTTTTCATGACTCACCTCTTGGAAGCATATTGCCAAGGAATTTCTTGGTAGAGTTGAACTGCAAACCTTTTGGACTACTAATAGTAAGGTCGGAGGTTCAAACCTACCAGCCACTCCATTGGAGAAAGATGAAGCTGTCTGCTGTGGTAAAGATTTAGTCTTGGAAACCCTAAGCGACAGCTCTACTGTGTCCTATAGGGTCCCTGTGAGTTGGGATTTTGGGATTTAAACCGATTGCGCCACCCGGAAACTCCATATTTGTTAACCCACTGAATGATGGCCACGCCAAACTTCATATAAGCCCTACCTACTAGGACAAGCTTTTGGGGTGACAAAGGTAGGCTTGTCTTTCTCAGAGTGAGTAAGTGAATGTGACCGCCAGAGAGCGCAACGCAACCTCCGCCCGGCGTCCTAAAGAGCATGAACTACAATTCCCAGCAGCCTTCGGAGTAGGCGGCCCACTCATGGCAGGCAGGCTATGACGTCTAGCAACAGCTGGGATTTGTAGTTCTCATAGACTCTCCGTGGGAGGCAGAGGAACTCAAAGATCTTGAAAAAGTGCGGGGCTGGGTCTTTCCAGCACTTCTGGTTTCCATGGTGATGGGTCTGGCGGAGGCTCCGGATTTGATGGCAATAGGCCCCCTTCCCCACTTCCTCCTCTTCACCATCTGCTCCGCCCTCACACCTGTCCAGGAGCCACGGCCACCGCCTCCGCATCCAGGCGCGGGATGCTGCCGCCACAAGGTGGTGCGTGAGGAAGGCTCTGCGGCTCCTCAGCCCTCAGGAGTACGGGTCCCTGGACCCGTCCCTGTGAAACCCAGCAGTGCAGCATCCCCCATACTCTTTTCCCTTAGACCCAGGAGTTCAAGGCCCGGTTCCTCCTCCCTTAGCCGTCCTAACCTTAGTTCCCGGGGTCACGGGGAATCCGGTTTTCTCAGACAAAGTTTCGAGACCCAGAAAAACCAGGCTGGAGGCCAGAGGCCCCGGTGATGTCTGTGGCGCCCGTCCGCCGCGCCATCTGCCCCTTCCACCTTTTTCGCGGGCTTGTGCCACATCATGAAAATTTAATCCCAGATGCATTTGCAGCCCGACTCTGGGAGGTGGTGGGGAAAAGAGCCCTCCCTGGGGGCCTGACTCTGAAGTGTGGAAGGGGGCAGGGTCTGGAGAAAGAGGCAAGGCAGAACCTCTCTACCCCGCCCAGGTCCCAGGAGAGAATCCGAGATCAACCCCCAAGAGGCGGGGCTAGGAATCAAGGGCGGGGACAATTATAAGAAGGCGGAACAGCTGCCAGCGAGCCCGCCAGAATTCAGAGTGCTACAGATTCTGGGACTGATAGTGCAGAGATTCCGGAGGGATAGGGAAACGATGCCGGGTGGCTTCTGGAAGGGAAGGGGAATCGAGGTGGGAAGCGAAACTCAGAGAGAGATGGAACTGGGAATTGGGGGGCGGTGGGGAGGGGGTTGGAACCCAGAGGAAAACTAGACCTGGGAGCGAGGTGGAACTCAAGTGGGGGAAAAGTGGTAATACTTATGGGGATGAATCTCAGGGCGCAGAAACTGGGTGGGAGTTGGAACAAAGGGGATCACGGGTGGGCCAAACGATTGCTGTGGTGTGCCGTCGAGTCTGTTCCGACTCAAAGTGACCTTATATAGGGTTTCCGAGGAATGGGTGATGGGTTTGAACCTACGATCTTGCGTTTAGCAGTCCAGTGCTTACCCGACAGCGCCACGCAAGCCCCAACTAGGGGTTGAAATTCAGGGAGAAAGTTCAGAAAGTTGGAACTGGAGGTGTCTGGGTTGTGGATGGAATCCATGGGCACAGTGGAATTGTCGGATCCAGAATTTAGGAAGGATGGGACTAAGACCCAGAGAAAGATGGAACTGTGACAGGGACGACACTGAAGGGAACTGAAGTGGGGGAGGCAAATCTCAAGTGTGAAAGAGAATTCAGGAGACAATGAGCTAGTGAGATTTGTGGGGATGGGCTAGTGGGGAACAACTCCCGGGAAGGTACAGAATTGGGGGGTGAGGCTACTCAGGTATTCAGAATTCAGAGGCGTGGTTTTAGGAGGGATGGGGCGGAGCCAGACTGAATGTGAGGACAGCAAAAAGGTGGGACTAGAATCCAAGGGGTGGGGTCTCCCTGCAACCCGCCCAGTCCGCCCCGCCCCGGGCGTGGAGTCCTGTGACAGCCCGCAGGCAGCCGGCACTCGCTGCCTCCTACCCCCCCGAGCGGAGCTGCGGGGCCGGCCGGGCCGGGGCGGACCCCGGGAACCCGGACGCGGCCACCCGGGCCCGCGGGCGGGGGGATCAGTGGGGAGACCTGTGGAAGGGGCCGCCACCATGGAGTTCCGTAAGGAGGAATTTCGGAAGCTGGCAGGTCGCACCCTCGGGAGGCTGCACCGGTGAGCGGTCTGGGGGTCCTGGGTGGGAAAAGGGCCCATGGTCCCAAGACGATGCCCGTTCCCACATTGGCTGCAGATGGACAGATGGACAGGAGGTGCCCTGGGGTGTGTGTGTGGGGGGGTCCCTCAACCCATCTGGCTAGTTTTTTCCCTCAGACTCCAACGGTACCGCTCTCTCTAGTGCATCCGTTCTCATCTATCAGCCCCGTTAGTTTTTCTTCGCCCCACCCCAGGCCAGGCTCAGCTCGGTTACCTGGGGCTACATCTCTCTGTCTCTCATCTCTAAATCTCTGTCCCACTCTCTCCGGGGCTATGTCCCCCTCTCTCTCTGGAACTCTGTCTCCCCACTCTGTGGCTCTTTTTCCCTCTCTGAATTTCTGTCCCTTTCTCTGGGTCTCTGACCCCTTCTCGCTCTTTGAGTCTCTCTGTCTGCTCTCTTTCTCTGGATCTCTGTCCCCCCTCTCTGGGTTCCTGTCACCCCATCTCTGGACCTCTGTTCCCCCTCTCACTGGGTCTCTGCTCTCCCCTTCTCTAGGTCTGTCTCCCTTCTCTCTAGGTCTCTGTCCCCTTCTCTCTCTGGGGGTCTCTGTTTCCCTTTCTCTGGGTTTCTATCCTCCCCAAACCCCAAACCATATCTCTTTCTATCTCTCTTTGTCTCAGAGAGTTTAATCTGAAGCTAAATCCGATTGGAGCATCAGCCCCTGTCCTTGAGTGGGGTTAAGCTGGGAGGTAGATGCCTAGGTATCCTGTGTCCATAGGGGAGAAGAGAGCTGCAGACCTGAAAATCAGTATCCCAAGGTGGGGCATATCCCCCAAAGGATATGGACTAGAGCCCCGAAGGACTTTTTCCCAGCCAGGGAGATGACCCCAGTGACCAGGGTGTCCCTCAGGGTAATCTGGACACCTCCTTCCAGTCTCCTACCCCCAACCCCAGTCCTGGCTCCAAGTCAAAGAAATTACTCAGCTGCGGAAAAACCTAAAAATAATCTAGCCACAATGGGGGAGGGGATGCCTCCCCAGCACTGAGGCCCTCTCTGTGCACCCTTTGACCCTGGTCCCTTCTTTAGTTCACCCTCATTAAGACTCTGGCCCCTTCTTTAGTTCACCCTCATTAATTTCACTAGGCCATGTAAGTCCTTCCTGAAATCTAACTCTAGTCGTGCTTGCTGCAGATCATCTCCTGGCTCCCAAGTTCCCCCACCCTCTAGTAATAAGAGTGCCAGTAGCAAGAGGGATGGGAGAGAAGAGGACAGAAGGATGCAGCAGTGAGGGGGACGGGGAGCTGAGATAACCTCACCCCTTATTTTCCAGCCCCTCCCCACCCTTTTTCTCGCTTCCTTTCACGAGTTTCTCAAAATACATCAGTGTGAAGTCAGGAGAGAGAGACACACACACACACACACACACACAAGCCGTGCTGACGGAAGGGCTGGGAAGGGGGCGGCAGGGGGAAGGATGAGTTTAGTCTCAGGCCCCCTCCTGCAGTCCCTCTTTCTCTGCATATCACCTGGATTGCTTTTGGTCCATCTATCCTCTGAGACCCCTGAGCTCAGAGCTCCCAGCGGGAGAGTCACCAAACACTTTGAGGGGAGCCCATCTGCATCCAAATCCTGGGGTTCAGTTCTGATTATTGGAGAGAGGGAGGTGCACTAGATTGGACATAATACCTCAATCTCATTCAATTTTCTAGACCTAGTAGGGGAAACTGAGTCTCAATTCAGGAAGGAGGAGTCAGATGATGAAGGCAAAAGCCATTACTCAGAGGTGGGTCAGCTTTACCTGAAAGCTGTGCTAGAGGCTGAGGTTTTCTTGAGATGAGGGATACTGGAGTGGGTGGCAAACTCCCCTTGGACGAGGAAACAGATGGGAACCCAGGCTGACTTGGGACAAGGACATGGTAGTGCATTTGAGGAAGAATGCAGCAGAGACAAGCAGTCAAAATGCCTCCTTTCTGAGAGGTTGGGTGCTGCTGTGGGCCAAGAAGAGTTAGGCCCCATGGACAAGACTTGTGATGTTGGATTTACTACTGCGGGTTTCCAAGTCTCAGTTTTCTTAGTGGTACAATGGGTAGATAAGAGAGCCAAAGGGAAATAAGGCAACTGAGATGGGGAGAAAAGGGACAGAATATGCTGAGACAGGTAGAGACAGACCCAGAAAGAGAGGTAGACAGACCCAGAGAGAAAGGTGGACAGAGACACAGAGAGGAAGCTAGAGATAGAAAGAGGGGGACAGAAACCCAGAGAGAGATGGGGACAGAGACCCAGAGAGGGGGTGTAGAGATGCTGAGAAGGGGGGCTGGTCAAGACCCAGAGAGAGAGGGGGACAGAGACTCAAAAAGAGTGAGACAGATGCATAGAGAAGGGAGACAGAGACCCAGAGAGAGAGAGGGTCTGAAACCTAGAGGGATGGGGAGATTCAGAAAGGGAGGGTTGAGATACAATTTGCATTTTTCTAACTAACAGTCCCTTGTGCTGCTTTTCCTCATCACCAGGTTCTGGGGAATCCAGGGATGGGAAGGGGAATCTCCATCTAGGCTACCCACCTCCTCCATTCTCTTCCTTTCTCTTGCAGACCTTCAGAACCAACCTTGTTCTCTGCGTCCCTGGTCCTCTTATCCTCAGATGATGAATATCACCCTGATGTTCTGCTTTAGAGTCTCACATTTCTGTTTTGGCCCCCATTTCAGGGATATGAAAGAAATAGAAATACTGAGACCTAAAAGCCTGGGTCAGAGATCTGGCATCTACTAATATGAACGAGGAGGAGTATCAAGTTTCAGGGGCTGCAATCATATCTTAGGTTTCAGGGTCAAATATCACCTGGGTCAAAGTCTACCCTCTCATTGGCCAGCATGTCCTTCTGATGAAAGTGGGGAGACCCTGCCCTACTGTCTGTTCATTCTGGGGGTTTATTTTCCCATCTCTGGGTGTTGTCCAGCTCCCTCTGGCTTCTTCCCTCCCCACACCCCAGTTTTTTAAACACCCCTCCAACCTCCTTAAGTTCAAGGATGGGGAGGGGGGGCTATGTTCTCTAGTTTCTTCCACCCTCCATCCCCCCCAGACCGTCTGTCTGTTCTTTCCTCCCCCGTTCCAGTCTCCCTCGCCTCCATCTGTTCTAGCCCCTTCCTGGGATCCAGCCCGATCCCCTGGCTGCCTACCCACCTTAGAAAGGGGCGGAACCTCACAAATTACATCCCCAGTCTGTCCCTCCTCATTGTCTTCTCTCTCTACCTTTTTCAGTGCCTTAGCCTCAGCACTACGTCTCTCTGCCCCTCTCCCTGGGTCTCTGTTTCTGCTCTCTGCATCTAATACCCCACCCCTGGGGTAACTGTCCATCTCTCTCAGGTCTCTGCTCCACCTCTTTTTGGATCTCTGTCCCCTTCTTTTTGAGTCTCTGTCCCCTTTTTTCTGGTTATATCCTCCCCTCTCTGGGTCTTTGTGCCCCTCTCTCTATGTCCTTTTCTCCGTTGACTTCAGTCTCCCTCTTTTGGGTCTCAGGGCACCTCTTTCTCTGCAGCCTCTTTCTGGGTTTGAGGCGGCCCTCCAAGTACCCTATTTGTCATCACACTCAGTCTTGGATCTGAAGCGGGCGGGGGCGAGAGCCACGCTGGGAACCAAGCCAATCCCCCACCAGGGCCATCTGTCCCCTGCCAGGACACCACCCCATACTCCCCCTCCCTACCTCCTAGGCTGAAGGCCTGAACTCAAGCTTCCTCAGCGATGCTAGGGCTGGGTTGCCGGACTCCAGGGTCCAGATCTCTCCCCAACCACTGCATCCCTGGGAATGGGTTTCCTGTGGTTTAGATGAAGTCATCTGAATATTGGTCCCATACCTGGGCCACAGAAGGCAGGCCGCAGGAGTGGGGGTGGGGTGGGAGCATGGGAGGAGGGGTCGGTATATATAGCAGACGTGGCTGCGAAGAAGCAGCTGTTCTCTTGACACCTTTGCTGAAGCGTCTCCTTAGCACCTTTTCCTTCCTCAAATAGACTCCTATCTGGCAGAAGAGTCTGGGAGAGTCTCCGGTTGTGGGGTGGGGGCGGGGCACAGGGCCTTGGATCCCAAAGGTAGTCTGGAGTCTAAAACCCTGAGTCCAGAGAGTTAACAAGGGGCAGGGGATCTGGACTCCTGGGTCTGAGGAAGGAGGAGACTGGGAACCCTGGACCCTTGGGTCTGAGGGAGGATGGTGATGGGAACTCTTGGGTGTGTCAAAGGAGCAGGCTAGGGCCCTGGACTTCTGGGTCTGAGGAAAGAAGATTCTGGGGTGCAAACGCTTAGGTCTGGAAGAGCATGATGGGGATGAGGTCCTCGACTCTTCTGTCTTTGACCCTTGCTGTCCCTCAGCTTTTTAGAGAAGCGGCAGGAAGGAGCTGAGACACTGGAACTGAGCGCTGACGGGCGCCCGGTGACCACACAAACACGGGATCCTCCGGTCTTGGACTGCACCTGCTTCGGCCTTCCTCGCCGTTACATCATCGCCATCATGAGCGGGCTAGGCTTCTGCATCAGCTTTGGCATCCGCTGCAACCTGGGCGTGGCCATCGTCTCTATGGTCAACAACAGCACCACCCACCGCGGGGGCCACGTGGTGGTGCAGGTAGCTCAGAGCGGAGCTCACTCTGTCCACGCCCCACGGCTTCCTTCACGTCCTCCCACAGAGGCCACGCCCTTCAAAACTGCCTGAGTCGCTCCACCCCTTCAGCTCCGATCTCACCTCAGAGAGCTCCCTTTACCTAAGGCCCCACCACCAGAACCAAATGAAGCACCTCCCTTATTTCAAATCCCTGCTACAAAATGTAGACTCCGCCCCAGCATCAGCGTTCATGTAGGCCCCGTCCTACCTATGTATTTTCTTCCTGGTGTGGGGTTGTGGGATAAACGCTGGACCGCAAGGTCGGTTTGAACCGCCAGGTCTGCAGTTCAAACTCACCAGCAGCTCCTCAAAAACCGTATATCGGGTCACTAGGAGTCAGAACCAACTCTATGGCACTTAACAACAATTATGAGCCTACTAGCAACTTTGCTCACGTCTGCATCCCATACTGTCCTGCCCTGCATGCTTTGACGGTTACGTAAAGATCCGCCACATCTCAGGCTCTTCCTCTATTTCAATATAGCTCTGGTGTGGCGCTGCTATAGGATAAGCGCTGAACTGCTTCCCACAAAGTCGGCAGTTCAAACTCACCAGCTGCTCTTTGGAAACCCTATACAGGGTTGCTATGAGTCGGAACTGACTCCACGGCACTTAAGAACAACCTGAAGCCCTACCTCTTGTTCCCTTCCAATCAGGCCCGCCCCTGTCCCTGTCTAAACCCCATCTCTGGCACTCGTGGACCGCACACAATGGGACCTATTAGTGGGATAGACGTGGAGAGAGTCTTTATCACCCTATATGGGCCCCAGACATTCAGAGAAGGGGCATTGAGGCAGGGAAACCAAGTTGTCAAGGCAGCAACCCCGGTTGCTACAGTAGCACCGATCCTACCAACGTGGAAACGCAGTTGTGCACTTTGATAGAGGGATGGAACGATGGAGTGGGCTCTAATTGGCAGGTATTTTGGCGGACAGAAGCGATCTTTGATTGTTGATTGGCTGAGAGGCTGAGTCTGTGGCACTGATTGGTGGAGCACAGAGCCTGGAAGGACAGCTGGTTTGATGTGCCTTTTTGGTCCACAGAAAGCCCAGTTCAACTGGGATCCAGAGACAGTCGGCCTCATACACGGCTCCTTTTTCTGGGGCTACATTGTCACCCAGATTCCTGGAGGGTTTATCTGCCAAAAATTCGCAGCCAACAGGTACAGAGGTGGGATCTCAAGGTGGGCGGGAACTATAGCTATGTGGGTAAAGTTAGAGACTGTGGCCTTGAATTTGAGGGCGGACTCTAGATAAATGGGAAGGGCCTAGGTTCTGGGGCGGGATTTTAAAGCAAGGACTCGTGATTGTGGAAAGTGGGGTTCGGGGTTCCGGGAAGGCAGAGCCTGCTCGATTGTGGGCGGAAAGGGCAGAATCCTAGGTATAGCCGTTTGCTGGATCCTTTTTGAGGACCACGGACTCTTCCCATCAGGGTTTTTGGCTTTGCTATTGTGGCGACATCCACGCTAAACATGCTGATCCCATCGGCTGCACGCGTCCACTACGGCTGCGTCATCTTCGTGAGGATCCTGCAGGGGTTGGTAGAGGTAAAGACCTACCACATAGACTCCGCCCTTTTAAGCCCGCCTCTTTCAACTGATTCTGGTTTTACGCTTCCCAGGGGGTCACATACCCTGCCTGCCATGGGATCTGGAGCAAATGGGCCCCACCCTTAGAAAGGAGTCGCCTAGCCACGACGGCCTTTTGCGGTGAGGGGATGGCCCGCGGGGTCTAGGCTCTGGAGTCTAGGGCTCCTGGGACTGAGGGAGGAGGAGGCTAAAGGAATAGGACTCCTGGGTTTGAGGGAGGAGGGCCCGTGGATTGTACTTCAGTGTCTCAGAAAGAACGGGCCCTTCACTCTTGGCTCTACGGGAAGAACCTGTTCTCCAATCCGTACGGTCTCCGTTAGGTTCCTACGCTGGGGCGGTGGTCGCGATGCCCCTCGCCGGAGTCCTGGTGCAATATTCAGGATGGAGCTCCGTGTTCTATGTCTACGGTGAGGGGCCCGGACGCCTGGGTCCGGGTGGCGCTCTGGCGGGGCGGAGCTGGGCGTCATCCCGCTCCCATACCCCCCCTGACCCCCCTTCCCAGGCAGCTTCGGAATCTTCTGGTACCTTTTCTGGCTGCTGGTCTCCTATGAGTCTCCCGCGGTGCACCCCAGCATTTCAGAAGAGGAGCGCAAATACATCGAGGACGCCATCGGCGAGAGCGCCAAACTCATGAACCCCGTCACGGTCCGGGCCCTAGTTTGGGGGTGCTGCTTGCGGGGCAGGGGTGCGGCCGGAGGGGTAGGACCTCGACGTATGGAGGCAGGAGAAAAGGGGGGTTTTGAACCCACACCTTCAGGTTTTAGCGTGTGTAGATAGTGGTGAGTTTCAGTAAACCCTCAGAGGAGATTGGGTTAGACTGCAAAGAATGCAGGGTTAGAATCTAGAGGGAGGAGTTACGTCGCGATGTGGGTGGGGTTAGAACCACAGATGGTGAGTGATTAAAACCAACCAGGATGCGTTTCCAGTGTAGGGCTTTAATTTAGACCTAGCTGTGAGTCAGGCTAGATGTAGGGGAGGCATTGGATGGAAGGACTTGTAGACCCACATTTATGGATCCCTGAGGGTCATGGTGGGGCCTGGGCACCTTTGAATTCTAGTGTCAATATGCTGCTGGAATTCCTGGTTCCCCAGCAGGGACATGTGGGGCCTGCGCCTCTGGGTCCCTTAAGGTTGCAGTGGTGTCGGATTCTTGAGTCTGTGGGACTATTATGGGGCCCCAGAAGGGACACGGCAACGCCCCCAGCACTGGTCTCCTCGTCCCCCACAGAAGTTTAACACTCCCTGGCGGCGCTTCTTCACGTCCATGCCAGTCTACGCCATCATTGTGGCCAACTTCTGCCGCAGTTGGACTTTCTACCTGCTACTTATCTCCCAGCCCGCCTACTTCGAAGAGGTGTTTGGCTTCGAGATCAGCAAGGTGGGGTTCAGGCAATCTGAGTTGAAGGCACAGGGGGCTGGGGTAGGGGAGTGGGGGCTGGATGAGAAATCTAGAGCCCAAGGGGTTGGAACGAAGGACAGGGAGGAGACACCGTTTTGCGGTCGCTGAGCGTGTCTCCCTGTACACACGCTTGTGTAGGTGGGCTTGGTGTCAGCGCTGCCCCATCTGGTCATGACCATCATCGTGCCCATCGGTGGCCAGATCGCTGACTTCTTGAGGAGCCGCCGGATAATGTCCACCACCAACGTGCGCAAATTGATGAACTGCGGGGGTAAGTGGGGCGTGGCCTGGGGGGGGGAAGCATCTGGATGTGGTCCAGGATAGCTTCGCAGAACTAAAGGGAGGATTGCAGGAGAGCATTCAAGGGCGGGACCACAAAGAAAAGGAGCGAGGTCCGGAGGCGGGTCCATGGGGCGTGGCCAAACTGAGCCAGCGTGAAGGCGGGTCTGGATGGAAGAGATTTTTACCACGTTTAGGTGTTACATCCGGAAGTGGTGGAAGGGCCTGGCGAATGTGACTGTTCTAGGGAAATAGAGTCAAGAATCAGCAGGGCGGAGCCTGCAGGGGGGCTGGGCATGACAGGGCGTAGGTGATGAAGAGGGGTTTAAGAGTAGGAGACCTGTAGAGACTGGGTATAGGAGTCAGAGGTGCGGGAATCTTGCATCTTCTGGGACGTGGCGCCGTTAGTGACTGGACCCTGGGGACGTAGGAGCCTAGTTAGAGTTGATGCAGGTCAGCAGAATGGGGGGCTAGGCCTGGACCCAAGTGGGAGGTGGCAAGAGGGTGGCGGATCTGAGTTGGATTGGGTCTGGAGAAGCCGTGTAGAGAGGCCTGCTCCCTGAACAGCGCTCAGGCAGAAAGTCCTCCTTAGGCTTTGGCATGGAAGCCACTCTGCTGCTGGTGGTCGGATACTCTCACTCCAAGGGCGTGGCCATCTCCTTCTTGGTCCTCGCTGTGGGCTTCAGCGGCTTTGCGATCTCAGGTGAGAACCGGGGAACTGAAGTTTGAGGGCCCCCGGGCAGCTTTATAGGGAACTTCCTGACGCAGGAGGGTGGCCAAGTGGGAGTCCCGAAAGTGAGATTTGGCTGTGACGCTGCTTACTCGCCTCTCTGACAGGGTTCAACGTGAACCACCTGGACATCGCCCCACGCTATGCCAGCATCCTCATGGGCATCTCTAATGGTGTGGGCACGTTGTCAGGCATGGTGTGCCCCATCATCGTGGGTGCCATGACGAAGCACAAGGTCTGTGCCCACCTTCTGACCTTATTCCCCAGAATTATGCATTGTGGTCCCTGTGTGTCACAAAGGTTAAATGTTCCATTACTGACTAACCTTAAGATTGGCGGTGCTAACCCATCCAGTGACTCCTTGGAAGAGAGGCCTGAGTTTTTTTTACTTCCCTAAAGGAGTCCTGGTGTGGCACTGTGGGTTAATGCGCCAGACTGCAAAGCCGTTTGAACTGCAAGGTCGGTGGTTCAAGCTCACCAGCCGCTCCTCGGAAACCCTATACAGGGTCGCTATGGGTTGGAATCGACTCCACGGCACTTAACAACAACAAAGATTACAGCCTAGAAACCCTATGGGGACAGTAAAACTCTGTAACACATTGGCTCCCTACGATGATTTGGAATCTTCTGGAAGGCAAAGTTTTTTTTTTTAACCTTTCTGATCATATCCTTTACCCTCCCTTAAAACACCCACATCTCCACACTCTCTGGGCCTCTGTCTCCAACTCAGCCTTTGTATCTACCTCTCCACTGGGGTTCTCTCTTCACATCCTGTTTTTTCCTCCTATTTGACCACTCAAGGAGCCCTGGTGGTGCAATGCTTAAGTGCTTGGCTGCTAACCAGGTTGGTGGTTCAAACATACCCTGGGACTGCACAGGAGAAAGACCTCCTGATGTGCTTCCCTAAAGATTATAGCTTAGAAAACCAAAGAGCAGTCCTACTCTGCCCCATGAGGCGAATATGAATTGAAATAGATTTCACAACACTTGACAGTAACAATTTGACCACTATCTCTGATGTTCCCCCACAGACTCGTGAGGAGTGGCAGTATGTGTTCCTAATCGCCTCCCTGGTGCACTATGGGGGTGTCATCTTCTACGGGGTCTTTGCTTCTGGAGAGAAACAGCCGTGGGCGGAGCCTGAGGAGATGAGCGAAGAGAAGTGTGGCTTCGTGGGCCACGACCAGCTGGCTGGCAGTGATGATAGTGAAATGGAGGATGAAGCTGAGCCCCCTGGAGCCCCCCCAGCTCCCCCTCCCTCCTATGGCGCCACACACAGCACAGTTCAGCCCCCGAGGCCCCCACCCCCTGTCCGGAACTACTGACCATGTGCCTCCCACCGAATAGCAGTTTCCAGGACCTCCACTCCACACATCTCTGGCCTGAACTACAGTGTCTAGGGGCCCCACTCCACTTTGTCTTGCCTCAGGCCTAAGAAGCACTTTCCCGTGTTCCCAGTGCTGTCAAACTGCTTTTCTTCCCCAATGCCTCTCAGGGGTAGTGAAGCTGCACACTGGCAGTTTCAAGGCTCCCCATGTTTTCCTAAAGGCATCCTAATAAGTTTTCGGGTCTTCTTCCCTACTCATCTGCCTCAGTGGTTCCATTTCTCTCCTTTCAGGGCTTTCGAATGGACAGTCAAACCTCTTACTCTCTTTTGTGGTTTTAAAGGCACTCCTTGTTTCTATGAACCCTGGGAACTGTAGTCCCCATGAAGTTACTCAGCCCCTCCTCTCTCCTTTCAGAACAATTCAAGGTCCTTTCTCTAGAAATTTCCAAGCTCTCCATTTCAATTCTGCATTTTCCATGTTGGTTTAGCCCATCCCTCATCCCCGCCATTCCAGGGATTGATCCTCACCAGCGTTTCTGAAGGAAAATGGCGGTTTCAAGGGTTTCAAGTTCCCCCTTGCACATCCTCTCCCCTCATCTGATTCTAAACTCTCTCTTTTGCTGAAGCACCAAATTCCCTAAGACATTTTCTCTAGCTTAGCACAGTGTCTAGGGGAACAACCAAAACCGTGGTTTTAACAACATGTGTCTCCTCACCCTGATGCACTTTCTTAGACATGGTTTTCAGGTTTAAATAGTGACTGTTTAAGTCCATCAGCTCAGTGGTTAGAAGCCACCACCATTGAATTGCCCCACGGTGGTTTCATCTGCCACCCCCCCCCACCCCCCAATTCCTGGCACTTTATGCTCCGGGGTGGTTTCAAGCTGCCCTTAGTTTCTCAGTGGCCATTGTTGTATCCCTCAGGGGCTAAATGATTAAAAGATCTGGGCTCCTTCCCCTTACAGATACCCCTCTTTCAGATTAGAAGTTGGGGAACATATATTGGAGAAATCACCAAATCCCAGGAAAGGGAATGGGGTTGGTGTTCTCCCCTGGGCAGGGTTGTGTCTTTTTGTCTCCGTGTCTTAGTGACTGTAAACCTGCCCTGCCCCACTCCCAATAAAATGCTTTGATGTAAGGACTTTCTTGTCATTAGCCATGGAGTCATGAGGTGGGAGAGGGAAGGAGGTGGGAAGGGGCTCAGCTCCTCCTCCCTCAGACCCAGGAATCCAGCCTCTCAGTCTCTCTCCTCCCTCGGACACAAAAGTCTAGGCCCCCAAGCTCAGGTGTATGTGGGGGGACAGTTCCTCCCTCAGACCCAGGAGTCCAGCCCGCCCCCCATATCCTCCTCTTGAAGCCCCTCTTCCCTCAGACCTAGTCCCCTGTTTTCCTCCAGGAATCAGGCCAGAGGAGGTGACCAGCCGTGCGAACACGTGATTTATTCCACTTAGACCGTGTTCTCAGATCACAGCGAAAGCATCTCTTGGTTCCGACCCTCCTTCAGAGGGGACCACTATGTAGCAAAGCTGCCAGGAGGACAGGGTCTTGGGTCCTATCTCCGTCTGTGGATGCGCAGGTCCGGAGGGACCTGGATAGGGCTCACACGAAGTTGTTGGGAAGTGTGGCAGGGGAGAGCGCCTCCAAGCGCTGGGGGGGCCCTCCGCGGGGTGGCGGGGGCAGTTTGGGTGGTAGTGGGGGAGTGGGTGGCAGTTGCTTGGTGGTGATGTGCGAAGGGACCCAGGCATCCGGCGCATAAAAGTAGAGGTCGTAGGGGTCCTTTGGGGTGTCCAGGTGCATAACTGGGGGAGCACAGGGGTGGGGTTAGAACTGGGCCTCAAGAATTGGCGAGGAGGTGGCTAGTTTAAGCAGCAGGGGCGCGGCCTGGAGTTCAAGGGTGGAGACTCCACCGGAAGGGGGCGGGGCTTTCTGGACCTGTAGCTCCCTCCTGATGCAATTCCCAGTTAGGCTTGGGGCTGACACAGGAAATGTGTGTGAAATTCAGTAAATAAGCGACAGGCTCTGATACTGGATCGGTCCTGGCTTTCATTGAACTTGGATAGGGAGCTTGTACTTTTTTGCTGGGCGCCCTCAAGTGCCTAGTGAGAAACCCAGTGAAACAAAGGGGTTGGGCCTGCTCCTTGGCTAGAGGGTGGGGGTGCTCACCTGGCTCATCGTCGTTCGGGAGTCGGTGGTGTGCGAAGGGCCGGTGCCTAGCTGCCCGACGGTAGAGACACCACAGGAGCAGAAAGATGCCGATCAAGAGTCCAGTCCCAGCGAGGAAAATGCACAGGGCGCCTCCCGCCATGCCCCGTGGGCGCCCCACCAAAGTCACGCCTTAGGAGGAAGGAGAGTCCCGTGGGACCCAGGAATCAGCTTCAACCCCCAGGACCCACCTCCCGGCCCCTCAAACCCAGGAGTCCTTTCCCTCGGGCCTCTTCCTCTCCCACCCTCAGGAGTCCCTCCGACCCCCAGTCCCTCCTCCCTCCGACCCAGGAGTCCAAGTCCGTGTCCAAGTCCAAGTCCCTCTTCCCTAAACCCAGGAGTCTGAGCTCCCAGTCCTCAAGGTCCTCACCTGTCTCCTCCACACGTTCCACTACGATGATAGTATTGACCCGCTCGCCTCGGCTGCGCCGCTGGGGAACCCGTGGAGTAGCAGGGATTGGCTCATTTGAGAACCCTGGAAGAGCAGGGGGGCCTGCAATCCGGGCTGAGGGAGGAGGGACGGTGGGTCCTTTAGGGCCAGGGTTCTGAAGGGTCTTCAGTTCAAGGGTTCCTGGAGACTCTGAGGTGGATAGTTTAGGGGAGTCAGGTTGGGTGGTGACCAGAGCTTCTGGAGTGGAATACAGTTGCACCTCATTGAGGGAGGTAGCTTTATCCTTGAATGGTGCAGGTGTGTCTGTATGAAGATTAGTGGAGAGTTCTGGGTCAGAGGTCAAGGGACTCTTGGCTGCATCTTGGTCTTGGGTTGTGAGGAATTCTGTTTGGGGGATTTCAGTGGAGATGGGGTTATGGGTCACATGGGATTCTAGGTGGGGCAGTTCAGTAGGGTCAGGATGGATGGCCTGGTGGAATTCAGAGTTTGGGGTCTGAGTGGTGGCAGAGTTATGGGTCTCTAGAGTTTTGGGGTCAAGGGCCTTGGTGGGGTCAGGGTCTGGGTGCAGGACTTCACTGGAGTTCCTTTTGGGGATCTCAGAGGGTTCTTGGTATGTAGATTCAGTAGGATCAGGGTTTAGGGCCTCAGGAAATTCAGAGTACAAAGATTTGGAGGGATTAGGTTTTGTGGTCTCCAGGGATTCTAGGTGTAGAGTTTCAGTAGGGTAAGGTTTGGGAATCTCAGAAAGTTCTGGATGTGTTGTTTTGGAATAGTTAGTATCCAAGGACTTTGAGCTTGAGATTTTGTATGTGCTAGGTTTGGGTGCTTCATGGAGGCCTGGGTGTGGGGTTTCCAGGAGGGGAGGACTCCCAGAACTCCAGGGGGTGTTCTCAGGAGAAACTGCATGGGGTGTCTTGGAGGGCTCAGAAGGGAGAGTCTCAGGATGGTTAAGATGGTTAGGATGGTCAAGAGTGGAATTTTCAGAAGAGCTAGGGGAGGTCGTAGAGGGGTCGCTTATCCCTGGGAAGTCCAAGCCCGCAGGTGGTGAGGCCGAGGGAGCTGCCTTGGAGCCCAGCCCAGCAAGGAGCAAAAGAAAGATCAGACCGAAAGGTTTCATGGCTCTAGGAGACGCTTACAGCTGTAAAGAAGTGGAAATTGTTATGTGCTGTTGAGTTGATTCCGACTCATAGTGACCCTGTATAGGGTTTCTAAGGAGCCACTAGTGAGTTTGAACCGCCAACCTTGTAGTTCAAACCCACCTTGCAGAAAGGAGTGCTGGTGTGGTACTGTGTGATAATGCACTGGACCACAAGGTCGGTTTGAATGGCAAGGTCGGGGGTTCAAATTCACCAGTTGCTCCTCAGAAACCCTATAGGGGGTTGCTATGGGTCTGAACCCATTCTTCAGCACTGAACACCATCAGGAAAGGAAAGGGTTAAATCCGGAGTCCCCGCCCATTCCTGAAGGGCCATGTCCACGGCCCACTTTGGCGCCGGCGACAGGCTGAGAATCCCAGTGGGAATCCCTGAGGACCTCGAGATAGGAGCTGCAGTAGCTAAGGGAGACTGAAGCGCGAGGCTTCTTGGGAGTGGTAGTTAACCTTATCTGTTCCCCCAGGGGTCCCAGAATTAATTGGGACAGAATGACACATCTCTAGCCCCTCATTCCTTCTCAATTTATATTTTGGAGAGTGTCTGAACCAGGTTGAGGGAGACACGAGATGGCTTTCTTTTGGAGGACCCAGGACATCTTAAGTCAACAGCTGTTTATCCTAGAGAAAACTCCGAAGGAAAGGCTGTGGGCTTGCTGGACTCCTGGGTCTCAGGGAGGAAGGGGCTGGGGTCTGGATTCCTGGGCTTGAGGGAGGAGGAGCTGCGGGGGAGGATGTCTGACTCCAGTGTCAGTAGAAGGAGGGAGCTGAATCTGGGACTCCTTGTCTGAGGGAGGAGGAGCTGGGGCCTGGGACTCCTGGGTCTGAGAGAGCAGGGGCTAGAGGTCAAAAGTCCTTGTTTTTCACTGAGAAGAGACCTGGAGGTTTGATATTTGAGGGAGCATGCTTGGGGACTGGATTACAGAGGAAAAAGGAGATGGGGATCTGAACTTTTGGGTCCTGAAGGAGAGGGGAACTGGAAATTCCAGGTCCTTGAGAGATCCAAGCCTGGGGGTCTTTAAGGAAGGAGCAGACTGTGGGGCCAAACCCTGTTTATTAAGGATAGAGCTGGGATTTCTGGGGTCTGAGAAGTTGATATGGGGAGAGATGCCTAAGTCTTTGGTTAGGTGGAGGGTGGAACAGCCCCCACCTGGTCAGGATAGGGTTTCTGGGATTGTATAAGGGGTCCAGGGGCCTCTTACCTGCTCAAGGGGTCCAAGACAACAGCAGGTGCCAGCAGAGCAAACAGGTGACTGCTACAGAATGGTGCTGGGTGTGGTGAGGGGGGAGGGGGGAAAGGTAGGGTCTCAGGGGTGTAGGTGACGCACCTAACCTCCCTCTTCAGGGATCCTGGGAGCTTAGTCACAGACTTGGGCTGTTAAAGGAACAGAGAAAGATTTTGTCTTGGGGATGGGGAAGGAAGTTAGACATGAGATGATCTAGTGAAGGGAAATGCCTCTACCAAGCTAACTTTCCTCACCTCAGACCCAGAAGTCCAGGGGCCCCAATCCTCTCCTTCCTCCAAACCCAAGAGTCTGGCCCCCTTCTATTAGGCTCCTAATCCCTCCTCCTTCAGACTCAGGAGTTCTGGTCCCCAGCTTTCTCCCTCAGAAGCCTAGGCCCTCAGTTCCCCCTCCCTTAGACCCAAGAGTCCATGCTCCTAGTCCCCTGCTTCATGACCCCTGCTCCTTCCTCCCAAGAATCCAGGAGGCTAAGAGCCCAGTTTATTACCCTCCCCCAGAGCTCAGGATTCAGGCTCCCCAGCCCATGCTTCCTCCCAAAATCCAGGAGTCCAGACCCCTGTTCCCTCCATTCTCAGACCCAGTTGTCCAGGCTCCTCCTCTTTGGGGAACCAGGACTCCAGATTCCCTTGTTTTACCAATTATAGAGACCTAGATTCAAAAAGGCCCTTTCTCAACTTCTCAACCTTTGCTGACCTCTCCACTTTGCAGAGGGCTCTGAGTCAGTGTGGGTGGGCTGGCCCTTAAATCCTCAGGATCCCTGAATGCCTGGGATGGGCAGGACTTAGGCCCACAGCTTGAGCCTCCTGTGCCTCCCTCCCACCCCACCCCCCTGGTCCCTGTAAGGCCTTTCTGATTTGTCTATCAGGGTCTCTCTTCACACCCCACCTCATACTCCCTCCACTATCTCTAGCCTGTTCTCTAGCTCCATCATCACTCTGTCTTTCTGGTCCACCTCCACTTTCCATGCTTGAACTGATCTGCATGCATCTCTATCCCTGAGCATCTGTTTGTCCTCTCATCTCCCTCTGTCTTTCAGGGAGTCTTTCCCCCTCATCTTTCCCTCTCTCTTGCTCGGTGTCTCTTCCTTTCGTTCTCTCTCTTTCCCTTTCTTTTCTGTTCTCCTTCCTACTGCCACTGCCTTGTTTCCTTTCTTGAACTCTCTCTTGTCCTTGGTCACTCTCCATCCTTGTCCCTCCTCCCTTTCTCGTCCCTTTATGTCTGTCTCTCCACCAACCCTTCCTTATTTCTTCATTCTCTGTGTTTCTGTCTCCAGCTCTGATGGTCTCTGTGCCAGCCTCTATTTTTATCCACTGACACACCCCCTGTGTCCACCTCTCTGTCTGTCTCTCCCTTCTGTCTTCTTAGGTCCCAGCTCCTGGTCCCAATTAGTTGTTGGCTGCTTGAGGCAGTGGTGGGGGCCCCCACTCCCAGCTCCTCATTACTGCTGGTGGTTTCTAATGAGCCTGGGGGGGGCTGACCCTGTGCCCCCGGCCCCCGCCTGCGTCACTGCCTGCCGCGGGGGCTGTGAAGGTGATATAAGGGGGCTGTCACATCACTGCCCAAGCTCACTGAGTGGTAGGGGGCCCCACAGGTGGACTGGAAGGGTGGATGGTCCTGTTGGTTGGGAGGGGACTTGGGTCTTAGTGCTTACCTCTCTCTCCACAGGTGATGGAGACTCCTCAGGTACCCAGGAGCCCCCGGCTTCGGCTGCTGTTGCTACTTCTGTTGCTGGTGCCTTGGGGCATCTGTCCAGCCTCAGGAGTTGCCCTGCCCCCCATGGGGGTGCTCAGGTATGTGTGGCTTTAGGTCTTCCAGGGAGAGGGGAGGATTTGGAGAGGTGAAAAGACACTCAAAGTGAGAAAGAGAGAGGACCGGAGATCCAGAGACAGGCAGGTGGAGGCCCAAGGAGATGGCAAAGACCCAGAGATGGGGGGACAGACACCCAGAAAGAGAGAGACAGTGACCCAGAAAGAAGGGAACAGGATCCAGAGGTGGGGGAGGAGGAGGATCGGCAAGAAAATTATCAAGAGAAAGAGATACAAAAATAAAGATGATGAGACCCCAAGAAAGGCATTTCCAGACTTGAAAGGAGTCGGAGCCCAGGCGATTTCTTCCTTGAGCAATATTTATTTTTTCTGTGTGAGCAGAGGAGCTGGGGGCCAATAAATGATCAGATGCGTCTCAGTGGTATTCAGGAGGCTTCAAAGAGACACATAGACCAGCACAGAGAATGGGAGTGACAGGGACAGGGAATGGGGAACAGAGATAGAGCCATGCCACCCGTAGTGCAGCAATAGGGCTACGAGCTAGACTACGAGGAGGACTGGCGGCGGCGGGCGCAGGTCAGGACACACGCGTCATTGCGTTTTTTTGGTATTCCCTTAGCTTCCGAACCCTCGGGCGGGCCTGGGCCGGCCCGGGTACCCCCATGTCGCGGCGGAGCCTGGCGCTGGCGGACGACGCGGCCTTCCGGGAGCGCGCGCGGTTGCTGGCGGCTCTGGAGCGCCGGCACTGGCTGAATTCGTACATGAACAAACTGCTGGTGCTGGATGCGCCCTGAGTGTCGGGTCCCGTTTAATAAAGACCTAGCTGTGCGTCAGGACTGCGATTTCTTCCTGCGCGACCCTTAGGGGCGGGGCCTGGTCGGGCACCTGGGTGTCTGTCTGTCTGTGTCTCTCTCCCTTCTAAATCCGGTTTCCTTCTTCCCTGGAGATCTCTGCATCCCTCCCTTACCACGGCTCTGTTCCCTTCCCCACTCTGGGTCTCTGTCCCTTTCTCTCAGGGTCTCTGTCTCCCTCTATCTGGGTCTCTGTCCCTCTCTAGGTCTCTGTTCCCCTTCCCTCTCTGGGATCTCTGCCTCCTCTCCCTTCTTCCTTCCCATGCTCATCTGTCCTTTTTCTCTGCCTTCTTCACGTCTTCCGATTCTGGCTTCCTTTGAGTCGTCATCTCTCTTTGCTTGGACCCCTCCAATTTCTATTTCCACTGGATTTCCCGTCTCCTCGGTCTCGTTCTTTCCCCACTTCTCCCCGTTCAGTGGAAAGATGGGAGCTCTGGATTGACAAATACCTGGCATCCCACCCCCAACCGGTTGCCACAGCGACCCTCATAGGACAGACTAGGGTCCTTTAGGTTTCCAAGGTTGTACTCTTTACAGAACCAGATAGTCACATCTGTTCCCGTAGAATAGCTGGTGGAGTCAAAACATTGACTTTTTAGTTAGCAACCAAGCACGTAACCACTGTGTTACCAGGGAGCTTGGCTTCCAGCCCAGGTGTTCCCAAACTTATTATGCTAAATTGTTGTTGTTAAATGCCATCGAGTCGGTTCCGACCCATAGCGACCCTGTGTAGGGTTTCCAAGGAGCGGCTGGTGAGCTTGAACCACCAACCTTGCAGTTCAAACCAACTTTGCAGTCCAGCGCATTAACCCACAGCGCCACACCAGGAGTCCACGCTATATTGGAAACTCTTAGCTTCTCTGAACTTCATTTTTCCTCATCTGCTGTGAGCATTAAACTAAACTGGTTTAGGATTACTTCAGTACAATGCCCGGTAGTAGCAAAACGCCTAATAAAAATGTGCCGCCTCCAAAGGTTTCTTCAACGTTTTCCAACTGTGACTTTCCCTGGAGACGTGCCAAGCTACGGCTGGAGGAGGCTGGAGGAGGAGAGAAGGGGGACCAGGTGTTGGGCTCCGAGAGGGAAGGGACGAGGACGAGGGATACACCTGGGCCGCTGGTGAAGCGAGGAAGCAGCCAATCAGAAGCCGTCTCTCTCCCTAGGGTCCTGGCTAGCCTGACAATCCCTCCCCTGAACAGTGACCATGGCAGCCTTCTCCCAAAGGTTACCGAAGGCGTTGAACCCGCGCGGTCCTAGGCGCCGTTCCTGCGGACCGCGCTCTGATTAGTCTAAAGGAGACGGGGGCGGAGCCGGGAGCGTTGGTGAGCTGGAAGCAACGCGAGGCTGCTTGCAATTTGCATTTCAGGAAAGCGGACCGAGCTCTAATTGGCCTTTAGGATGCAGGGACAGGACTGTCCCGTGTTTTTCAGAACTACTGAGGAATGAAAACTGTTCTGTAAAAGCACCTGAAGTTGGTCAAGTTTTATATATACACAAAGTCACGGACAATTTCTCCACGTTTCAGCGCCAGTAAGGAACAGAGGGATCATTGAACTTACAAATTCAGTGGTTTAGAATTTCCACTGGAACCCTAATGCGGGTCTGTAGGATCAGCACAAGACTGCGAACCACAAGGTCGGTAGTTCAAACCCACCAGCTGCTCCTTGGAAACCCTTGAACTAACTGTATGGCACCCAACAACAACAACAGAATTTCCACTACTCTCATGGAGAAATGCAATGACAATGTTACTATTTGCTATTGGTGTGGCACTGTAGGATAAGCACTGGACTGCTAACTTTAAGGTTGGCCCTTCAGAAACCCTCTACAGGGTCGCTGAGTGAACCAGCTTGATGGTATTTAACAACTTCTAAATGTTTGGTTGGGTCCTCACTTTCTTTTTCCCCCTACAAAAATGACTACGATTCCATGCCACCCATTTATGCCAGAGTAGAAATGTGCTTCGTAGGGTTTCCAGTGGCTGAGTTTTTGGAAACAAACCATCAGACCTTTCTTCCCAAGCACTTCTGGGTGGATTGAGCCTCCAGCCTTTTCCATTAACAGTCAAGTACTATGCCATCCAGGGATTCCACTTTTGCCCTAGATTCATAGTGTGGCCCCAAATCCCTTCCTTTCCCACTCGACTTCCCTTCCTCTGGGGAATTGCAGCCACCCCGATAGCTTCCATCCGGTTCCCTAGCACTCAGACCTCCAGCTCCAGCTGTGACCTTCTGGAATCTCCTGACCTCTTACATACCACATCCCCGAAACTCACTCTTTGTCTGGGGATGGCTTTGTTTTCTACTAGTCATTGGGTCAGATGCCAGGTGCGGTCAGTTTCCAATCCTTTTCCATTTGAACCATGGATTGCCCCAGCTTCTCCTCCATCTCCTGGCCACCAGTCTTTCCTCCTTTATTTATCGCCTGTATATCTCCAACTTCCAGAAGGTCTTTTTCAAACCAAGTTGATCCTGTCCTTTGCTGCTTACATGCCTTTTATGGATACCTGGAAGCAAAATTCAAAACCCTTCATGGGCTATTGTCCACCTTATTTAACCCCTGTGCTTGTTGGGCCTCCTTTCTTGTATAAATCAAAGAATTCATCCAGCTCTACATGTATTTGACTTGTCTTCATCCGTGTAGTTATAGTTCAATTAAAAGGCAAATCAACAACGTTGTTGTTAAGTGCTATCATGTTGGTTCCAACTCAGTGACCCTGTAGAGGGTTTTTAAAGAGCAGCTGGTGTGTTTGAACTGCCGACTTTGTGATTCAAAATCCAGTGCTGCCCCTACAGTGCCAAGACCTCTCCAATCTCCCATCACCCTTAGAAGATTCAAGCTAGACAGGCTGTCTTCCTTTATAGCTTCATCTTCCAAAGTCTACTTTGGCTTATAGCTCATCAGTACACATCTGTGAACAAGTGGCCCACAGGTTCATTTTTCTTATTCTGTGATGAGCATCTCCACTCCCTTTGGGGACCACACCCCATCAAGGTGGTGGGGAAAGGGTCTGAGTGGTCTGTTACTGCATTATAGTTCAACTATGAAGATGATTAGTGTTACAAATGAATCCTGATGTTACATAAAAGATACTCAGTGAGACTAAATTACAAAGCAAAATTTACTCCTGCAAGAGTGTACGTTCACATCGCCGTACATACAGGAACAGGCCAGCGAGCACATCGAGTGGGCAGTCTACTTGAGTTTTTAATGCTTGACGCAAGTCTCAAGGCTGTGTCTCACCCGGTTGGCTAAGGTTTTGACTGCACAATCTTTCCCCTTACCTGGTTGGCTAGTTCACAATTTTAAGGCGTGCATTCCTACTTTAGGAAAAGAAAAAGAGAGCAATCATAAAGTCTTT